GAACAATTACATGTGAAATGATCAAGGGTCAAAGTTACAAATACCACTGCGCAAGCGTGACAAAAAATAAAATGCGCCAAGCGTTGCGTATCCTTCAAAATTGCTCCCGGGACGATTTTGACGGCCGAACCCAATGCGCACCTGTGTTATGTTCATGGAGTCGTTTTTTGTGTCCGTGAAAGTGAAACGCATGAACGCATCGCGTATACGCAACGCAGCCCAAAAACGTACATATGGAAAGGCACCTTAACCCTGTTATTAGTGTAATTTTAATCCACATCTTCTCAACCGTTCGTCGTATTAATTTCGTTCTTTCAGCATGTGAAAGACTAGTTCTTAACTTATATTGTTAAAATCTGCTTAAAACCGTCTCTTTATTTGATGGCACACATATAAATGGCACATGTACACCATGCTGCCTTCCTTTTGGTAGTGCAACAATGTTAATTTATTTTATTAGATGAAATTTATTGCAATCCTTGAAATAGATGTTCTAACATGTCAAAAAACAAGATATTTTCAGGGATATCTGTAAGATTTGATTTATTCACATTTGCTTTAGAAGGGACTTTACCAACAAGGAATTTCCCATGGCAGGTATAACATGTCCAAAAACATGACCTGCTTGATTCTGCAATACACCTGGATTCACAGTGGTCATTATAGAAATTTATACGTTGATCTTTGTATTTATACAAATTATTTAAGCCTCACAATTTCCTTTTGGATTAGCATGTTCAGGTCCTGTATGGATATGCTCTCTTCACATGCCTTCAAAACATAACGAAATTGACGGTCTTTTCTCTTTGTTAATCAATTTCATGTCTGAATTTCATCTCTGCCATCTTTTTTATGTTTTTCACTATTTCTTTATATTTTCCCCCATAGTTTATTAAATTCACCCTGTAAGAACTAAGAGATCGATATTTCTATTTGATACTGGTGATAAGCTTAGTTTATATGAGTTATTACCATGGTATCACAATCTGTTAATTTGCTTTTGCCTAAGAGAAATATCTTGATACTTTGTTTTAGACCTATTTCATATTTGACAAGCTTCTCTCTATATGCAGTATTATCAAAGTACTTTGTTTTCTCAGATTGATTAGCCTCTTTCTGTATTCAGCATTATCACAATACTTTATTATCCCCAAATTGATAAGCTTCTGTCTGTATTCAGCATTATTATACACAATATTCCGTTTCCTTTTATTGATTAGCCTCTTTCTGTATTCAGCATCATCACAATACTTTGTATTCCCTATTGATTTTCTTTCTTCTGTATTCAGCATCATCACAATACTTCGTATTCTCTTATTGATTAGCCTCTTCCTGTATTCAGTATCATCACAACTGTTGTTTCCCCTTCATCTATTAGTTTATTCTCCCAATACTTTATTTTACTCTACTGATTTGGTTCTGTTTGTGTTCAGCATTACACTAAATCTTTTTTCGCCCTACCGATTAGCCCTGTCTCTATGTTCAATATTTAAAAGACACTTTCTTTTCTCACTGTTTATTCTCTTGACTGTGTATTCAGGATTTCCAAAGTACTTTTTATGCCTTAATACATTTTTTCCATGTGTTTCATTGTCCAAGTTTCTTTAGGGCCTTGGTTTTAATTTTCATTTCATTTTCATACTTTTTTAAATTCATTTTTCTTGTCTGTATTTTTGATAGTACTTCTGATTATCCTCTTTCTTTGCTTTTTTCATCTTTTTTTACTCCTTGAAGTTTTCATCCAAATTCTTCACATTCCTTGGTCTACATGCTCTTTGATCATAAGAGGTATTTGTTACATCCCTCCATATTTGCTTTGTTAGCCTGTTGTGCTTAGTGCTTACCTGTCGCCGTCTCTCTTTTTTCTTTCTTTGTTGTAATTTCCTATATGGCCGCTTTTGCCTTTTACTCGGCAAATTGTTCTCTATAATTCACCACCTTTTATTCATTTATCTTCTTTGTTAGTTGCCCTTTTCTGCTTTCTGTTATCAGACTGAATTGTGGATCCATTAATTGACAACCCAGTTTCATAACGAATTCTGTGCCTACAGTGCAAGTGAAAGACCTCTAATGTTGTAATTTCAAGTGCAACCGCACTTGTAAAAAAATACCATTATTTTATCTCCATCTTCAAATATACTTACGAACAAGTCTGTAACATATGTGCCACTGACATGATGTAGCCCATTCTCCACAGTCAGATTTCCTTGATGATATACTTTCCACATCAACAAGCCTTTTTTGCAGAACAAACATTAAACTTGTCTGCATTTCTTAATTAGTAATTAATTGTGTGTGACTTGCTCTGTGTTTTCTACACAGTGCATGTTTGCAATTACAAGTCGGGAGAACAAATTTGAAACTTTGTATCGGATCAGTAATTTCCATAATATCACGTTACTCCCAACATCACCTTCATTACTGGAAATCATATCATTGAAACTTCCTCATAATTTCTCAGATTACTACGTGGACTCAGCAAGCTGCCACAAGACATATATCTACGCTAAAATCAGTAGGCCTACTTCTTTCAGCTCTTAACTAATTTCACTTTTTCCCAACGAAATCATTGTCTTCTGTAAACGTACTCGTAAGTATCGCATCTTTCTTCATCATCTAAATACATTTAGAAATATCCGTAAATTCAAACTACTCATTATCTGATGGCACATAGATTTGGCCAAATCAGTACAATACCTGTGTACATCTTGTCAAGTAGCAGCACGTTTCGACAGACTTCTGCTTTCACTGATGTGGCACCCCTGCTGGTTTCTAGAGTGAGAATTATATATATAGAACAAGTCATCTTAACCAATTACAACAAATGCATTTCCATGGAAACGCGAGATGCTGGCACAATGTTGTTGAAGAGTATCTTCTAATGCATGATATCAGTTGCATCATACCAAATTCTGGAAAATCGTACGCTGAGCTCCAAAAGTACCACATACAGGGTCATGAAATGTCATATGTGAAATAGCGATTGAGCAATTAAATCCAGTTCATTTGGCAATTTACTGATCAACAAGTACTGATTATTTAATGTAGATCTCCTATATAAATGCCTGTATAACTCATTTTTAGTAATAAGTTTAGTATTCATATCACCACAAACCGCTCCTTCAAATCGTTTGACTTGACCCGTAAAACACAAACTATTTGATTATCCATAATGTCCTCCGCTCTCTATCCAAATTTATGACAGGGTAGTGAAAGCCGATGCCGGTTTTGTCCGTTAGTTTTATGTTACCTGTAATTTTTCTATTGTGTTATAAACGGACTGACTAACATCTTGGCTCAGACTTTTAAAGCCGTGGTTCAACTTTTTAACCAGTTGCTAAACCAGTTGCAAACAGTGCGATTATTGTTACGATAAAAAAACTCACATCTATTTATACCAATTATTCTCAAGCTTGATTTTTCCCTGATGCAGTAAAGAAGTCAAACAAAATCACACTGATCTAAGGCACAAATAAACAATTATGATTTAATGAGAATGTTACACTTAGCACGTAAAAAAAGGATAACAATGGAACTATTTTACATCTTGTGTGCTGCAATACCATTACACCATCCGTTACCAGTAGAGAGACCGTGTGCCAATACATAACACTATATATTTAAGAACAGTTGCACTGGAGTCTGCCAGACGACTCTGAAAGTTGAACGACAACATTTAGAAGCTAAACAATGAAGTATAAAAAGTGTGCTCAACGTTTGAAAGTTTAAATACGACGTTATAAGTCGTCACGTCTGAAACGTTGACGAACGACCTTTGAGAAGCTGAAGTGCAACATTTGCCTGTCCAACACTATGCCATACTCATGAACCATTGTTAGATGTTTTGCCTACCTATTTCAACAGCAATTTATCTGTTTTATTATTTTTTTCAGGTTATAGTAAGACGGCATTGCCAAACGGAAAGGGCGATAACTACCATTCCTCGCGTGTTATCAACGAGGAATATAACTCAAAAGCGACAGAGGAAGAACTAATAGAGGAAATCAAACAAATCCCCCAAGCTGAAAACTTTGTCGATAACAGGTCAGACATCCGCAATGGAACTCTACCCACTATCTTTGCGGTCACTCCGACCTACGCGAGGCCGGTGCAGAAAGCCGACTTGACCAGGGTGGGCCAAACCTTCCTCCACATCCGGAACTTTCATTGGATTGTCGTGGAGGACTCCAGCAACAAGACTAGTGTAGTCGCGACGCTCTTGCAAAGGAGTGGCATCAACTTCACCCATCTGAATCGCAAATCTTTGCCAAAAGCCCGAACCAAGGGCGCGCCACAGAGAAACGCTGGCATTGAGTGGCTGTTGGAAAACGTTAACGTGAATGAAACTCCTGGAGTTGTTTACTTTGCCGATGACGATAACACATACGATCTGCAAATTTTTGACGAGGTATGGTACACTAATAAGTCAGAATTTGAGCTAACTATGACTCAGGGTATCAAATTGAGGACATCGACCAAATCTTCTGATACTGTCGTTTAGGAAATCTGTAGAACCAAACAAGCAGCTGTGCCAATAGGTGACTACATTATCGTGCTTACTGGTAATAGATTTAATCCACGTATCTGAGAAAAAATTTGAATTTCGAGGGACTTCCATCTTAAAACCTTTTAAAAATCAATGGATTTATTGCTTTGGTATGTGCACATTTCTTCCCACTCTCTCCCCCTGTGCACAAGGTTTATTTCGAAACTCCCTCAACAGGTAACGTCTTGCAAGTCACCGTTTAATTATCTTTTTCAAATCGCAGATGAGATACACTCGGAAAGTTTCTGTGTGGCCTGTTGGCCTCGTAGGGGGTCAGATGTATGAGCGATGTCTTGTGGGCAAAGACGGAACTGTCACTGACTGGAAAGTGGGTTGGAATCGAAAGAGACCGTTTCCTATTGACATGGCTGGTTTTGCTATCAATCTCCGCTTGCTGAAGTCGAAGCCCAAGACCAGGTTTCCCCTCAAGCCGAAGAAATACGTCGACCTAGAATCATCCCTATTAGTGCAGTTAGTCACCCAGGAGGATTTGGAACCCAAAGCCAGCAATTGTACAAAAGTAAGGCCAATAAGCTTGCGGGTTTTAATGATCGGTTTGGGTTTCTTGGGTTTGGCTAGCCTGATTTTTTTTTTCAATAAGATACTCCCAGATATCGGTATATCACGTGGTAAGCTTGGCAAGCACGTTTTTATCGGTGACGTAGCAATACACAACGTTGCAGTTCTCCATAACAGTTTATTCTGTTACTGCTGAGCGAGTCCTTTTGACAGTTCAAAGAGAGCGAAGAAAGGAAAAGGTCCCCTTTTCAAATACAAACTCAACAATCGCACAATCAGGAGAGCAGACAGATGCTGCATGAGGGGGAATGGGGAAGCAATACTGTGTAGGAAAACGGACAACGCATGCTGGTAAGACAACTAAGAGAGTTGCGGCACGTATGCCGAGGATAGAAACCCTTTCGAAAGATTTGCAATAGCTAAATATGTGGCAAATAGTAGGGAGCATTGGAGCACGATTGCTGCAGAGTCGGATTACCTTGAATAACTCAATCCATCCTAATGCTCATGAGCACGGGACACACTCGAAATTCATGATGTCATGAGAATATAAGGGCTGGAATTAACCGAGCGAAGTTGGGCTGGGTTGGGATGAGTTTTCCAAAGTTTGTTTGTTCGAGACATTTTCCAATTTGTTCAAACGAGATCTATAATTAAAAGCATTTTTTTCTATTTCTGGAAACAACTCGTGTTTACGAGATATACTTTTTGATAATTTTTGTTTTTTATGAGATATAGTGTTTCCAAGTTACTTTTCAGGAGATACACCTGGATTTATTTCTCACAAAATAACTTAAGAAAATAGACCTTTTCACTTTTCGCTAATAAATTCATAATTATGCACGCATGCGCACAAATGGCCTTGACATGCGCACAGGATCAATCACGAATTTAAAGTCGAAAAATCTGCTAAGATTTGAAACTCGTAGCAAAAACGATGTAATAGGATTTTCTGAGGAAAAAATGAACAAAGCCAAGAAACCTGAGAGAGAATGATCATAATCGCACAACTGTACATTTTCAATTGTCCTTACCTGCGTGCGTAATTGTGAAGTTTTTAGTGAAAGGTCTTTTTTATATACTTGATAAAAAACGAACTTCGAAAAAATATATTTCACTTTTTGGAAATATATACTTGACGGCACTCAAGTGCTTTTGTACGTCTGGACTCACAATGCATGGGTCATGGAAGCCACCAGTGGCATCTTATTGTACCAATTACGAAGGTAATCCAAAGGCTTGCTTGCTTACTGTTAACCGAGTCGATCGGGGCAATAGAAGTTAATTAATTTGAATAAAATCTGATACAATGAGTTATCTGATGGCACATAGACAAAATTTGAATTCCCCAAACTAAGACACTGTTGCTACACCTCGTGATTCGGGGCAAGCTTTTGCATAGCGACCATCATTTCTGGGATGGACAGGTTCCTTTGTGCCCTTCTTATCCATTGAAAAACGGTGTATTGGTTCAAGGCGTGTCTAATGTAACCAAGCAAAAACTTGCCCCGAATCACGATGTAGGCCTAGCTATGGCAACAGTGTCTTTAGTATGAAGAATTCAAAATTATGTTCATGTGAATAAAACAAAACTCAGTGTTCCAGATTTATTCAAATCAGTTTCACATAACTCGCAAAGGGCTTATTGACGCACGACCCAGAGATCACTTTTGGTTTGCGTCTTGGTAAGGAGGCTGCTGGTGGCATAGCCAATCCAGACTTTTCATATGGCGTTTGTACCAGCGTTAGCTTGCGTGAGAATGGTGCACGGTACCCCCGAATGGCACACCTCGTTTTAAGCTCATGCATGCAGAAGGATTTCTTTTGACCTCATTCACTTGTGACGAAAATAAATGTGGAAGTTTTATTTTGTACTCAAAAATCCACTCTGACAAGAAAGTAATAGCTACAATGACTTTAGATGTTTTCTGGAGAAATAAGTGGAAAATTCCATAGAGTCCACACACATTTACACCCCCGTACATTTTCAATACACAACTCACGCTATCGGTCACAGTGGCCATTCATGCGCATGTGTGCATAATTATGAATTTGTTTCATTTTAGTTTATTTCGTAGGTCCATTGCATGGAATTTTACTAGTATATTCCACTTTATGTGTGTGTTTTCTTTTTGTCTGCAGATCTTAGTGTGGCACACAAGGACGGAAAAACCGAAATTGGTATACAAGATCAAGGATAACGTAAAGATAGTTGTCTGAATCAATGTTTTCATGAGAATGGAAGGAAAATGCTGAACGGAGTCAGAATTGGGGAGCAGTCAATATTGCAATACGTACAGTCGTGCCCAAAGATTGACATGAATTCTAGTAGAATACAGTTGTACCTCATCTCTCTATAATCATCGCCCTTTCCATAATTTTACATTTCCCTTTATTTCTATTAAACGTTTCTGCAACCAATTCGCTTTGGATGACGTTTCTAGACAATTTCACTCATGATGTAATAAAAATATTGGGTTGAAAATTTACATAGGCCTACACTGAGATAACCTGCTACTCGATTGTCCTTTGAGAGGTCTAAATGTTCTGAAATGGTCTTGTACCACTCATCTCTCTTGATTATTACTGTTAGTAATAGGCAAGGAGTACCTACATAATTATTGCTGTTTAATGTAATGAGTTTGGTTTCCTGTTCAGGCTAGTCTTTGCCTTGAACCAGTGACGGGGATCGTAAACGAATACATTTACTCTTAAAACCTAGCGAAGAGCTTTATCCAGCTGCAGAGGTCAGAGACTTCTCAAGAAGTCATATCTGGAACGATTGTGTCGAAATGCATTTGAAACCTAACGACAACCACGACCCGTTTGAAAGGCTGACAACCACTGATGAAAGGGCGTTGGTCTCAAAGGTGTGGTTCAATCTTAGGACTGTCAAAAAAACACCTGTGCCAAGAATTGCAGGTCTAGGGGATGAAGGCTCTGTCCACCGTTCAGAGGGTCCTGCAACGAAACGGAGAGGCTACAAAAGAGACACCACGAAGGAAGCTTCTCCTTCAAGAATGACACTGTAAAGGCCAGCAGAAAATGTGCAAGAAAGCACACAAAGTACAGGAAATGTACAATGGTACTATTATATGACGTGTAAAGAGAGTTATATATTCATTGTGCATTTAGTCTTAGTGTTTATTGTTTTTGATAGCTGTGTGCAAAGTCCAACTCACGAATTAGAAGTATATTGGCGGCCAACGGATGATTTTTTTTTCAGTATTACTGAGTTGACGTTGATACCGGTATAGAAAGAGCAGACAGGCCCACGGCTTAGGGGGATGTGAAGGGGTAGCCCCCCGAGCAGCTAGTCCTCATCGGTAAAAACAAGAAGCATCAACGTATGACCTCTCCTTGTGGTGTGCCCTCTAGCTGGTACTGTGCCCCTCCCCCTTTAACGCCAAAAGCGTTAAGTGGAGTAGACCCCATAATGGCGCACAGCATCTGCACTGAGCTGGTTAGGTGCTTGAATGTTCGCACACAGGATGGTGGGCCTGTTTCTGCAACATGGAAGTAGAGTTTCAAGTATAGTGAGAAAGGTACATTTTGGTACAATCAGCAATTTAGATGGGATGACTCATACTATGGGGAGTATGCGGACATTATACATGTATGCATGTGAACAAGTAAGGCTACAGAAATCTTGCAGCATGAATGCCAGTGAGTATGTTGCCAGTTGGTCCCCGACCCGGTGACTCTTGATAAAAATTTGAGTTCAGGCATCGTCCACGGTCAAAAAATGAGGCAAAATACCGAAGGTCACCAGGGAGTAGTCACTGCGAATGTCATATACAAAATGACGACCGCGGTCTTGGCTGAAAGCCAGTTCATTTTATTTTTGGAATATACTTTACATAATACACAACGGCACGAAATATCAAGACAAAGGTTATTTGTTTACATGATGACATACATGATGACATACAAAAACTACAGAACAATACTTAACCAGTCCCCACTGGACTTCCCAAAAGAAACATTTTAGATGGAGGCATGTCGGTTATGTGTTTGTTTTAACCCTCTTGCAGCACGGTGTTAATCTTTGAAAAATGACATTGCTCAAAAGGAATTAAGATCTATTGCCGTTGATACATCCATTATAACTTTTTAAAGCGTGTTTTACTCACATGTATAAACATCCGCTGATCAGTAGCATACACGACCAAAACTATCCAAATCTGTACGAGTTCGGAATATTTTGGACATCATTTTTCGGAAAACAGGGGAATTTCCCCAATTATTGTCGGGGTGCATGGTGATACCCAAAGACAAAATAGACCAACATCGCCTATGGAAATCAACGTCTGGTACCCCAATAATGAAGGCAATTTGGCATCCTTATTATCCCTTCCAATCAAGGCAGAACACCAAGATGTTGGGCGTAGACTGCAATCATACAAAATGTAGTGCCTTTCAGTTTATGTATTGAACATTGTTCAGTGCACTCTAAAACTCCCGGGTCAGATTGACCCAGAATTGGGTTCCATTCGGCAAGACCCTTTTCCGGGTCAAATTATGACCCAGAAGGGGTTCATTTTTTGACTCGGTAATTGTCACACCGAATGGGACCCAACTCTGGGTCATTCTGACCCGGGAGATTTTAGAGCGTGGGTTAACATTTAATGCGCGATATCAGTTCCATTTAAAATTTAGATATTACAGATTATCAAAAATTTCAGACTTGGTTATCTTTTCTCATTCACGTTAAAATTTGAAGAAATGTCTGGAAAAAATTTATTTTGCGAATGTAATACTAAAAGTGAGTGTCCAAAAACGATTATAACAACAAACAGAAATGAATTGTCACCAGTTGAATTTGTTTTTAATAATTTCTCAATTTTATGTACATATTTGCGTGTCCCTTGGTAGCTACGTGTAGATACAGACCTAAACACATAGTTTGATAACCATTTGGGGGTATTTTCAGAGAAGAACGACTACAAAGAATGATTCGTGGCTAACCCTTGAAAAAAAAAAGATTTTTTTTCATACTCTTGAATTACCAGTGAAATAAACGAGGCCATTCTGTTCCTGAAGGTCACCAAACGGCGCTAGTTCTGTCCAATTCACGGACGTCCGTGGCAGATTTTGCAAATTTTATTTTTTTTGGTCGAAACCCGTCAGTAGCGACTACGGAAGCGTATTTCGGACATAACTAAAAAAGAAAGTTTGAACCACCATTTCGCTCGACCGAATTGATGGCGAAATTGTGAAATGCAAAGATATAATCCGCCCGGGCGAATTAGTAATCCACCTGGGCAAAATGGTAACGCCACGTTTTTCAGTCTTGTCCTAAATACGCTTCCGTAGTATCGGACCGAAACCTATCAAAAAGATTGGATGCTTTCTTATTTGAAATGAGCGAACCTGAACCTGTTTTATGTTTTTATGTTGGGAAAATGGATTCCAATCTTGAGAACATTACGTCTGTAAAATTTCGTTCCACTCTTTGAAAACATGTAAGCCTTATGAAACTTTGTTCTAATCCTGAAATATGTTACTATGCCAGGTCTGTAAACTTTCATTCGAACCGAAAGAGATGTTGGGTCCATAAGATTTCCATATTTTGGGGGAATGCATTTGAAATATCAAATACGCTCTGTTTTAAATAACATTATATTTTAAAAAGGTCCATGTTTAAAAAAAATGCAATTTTGAATCTAATTCTGCTTCATATTGCAGTCTCTTTGTTTTTATGTCTGTGGTGAAGACACTTTGACGACTTCATGAAAGAGTGCTGAACCGGGTTCAGATTATACACTCTAAAAATCACCTGGGTCAGACTGACCCGGAATCTGGGTCCCATGGAGCCTGACCCATTTAAGGGTCAAATTGTGACCCCACCCCCTTGGGTAATATTTTTCTGGGTCAAATATGACCCAAAAGGGGGGTCATAATTTGACCCGGAAAAGGGCCAGGCTCCATGGGACACAGATTCCGGGTCAGTCTGACCCAGGTGTTTACTAGAGTATGGATTGTTATAGCCTAGCCTAAAGTTGGGAGCTGTATAGTACGGTAATTTGTTGTGGATTGCTTGCCGTCTGTGATAGGTAGGGGGTAATGGCTGGGTTGAGATCCGATGTCAATGAACAGCCTGGCTTGCCTTGAGATTCACCTGCGGCACTTTAGTTCCTGTGAGGGCTGTTATTCCTTGGTTTAATAGATGACACTTCAAACAGATTATGCAAGGGACAAGTTTAAATCAAAGTTCGTCCAGGGGTTAGGATTACCCCTAGAGGAATTGCGTTGCTTCGTATTACAAAATGTTATTCATTAATTTATTATTTTTATATTAAAGTAATGTACATCTTGTGTTTGTGATATATTTCGTTGATGTACTCCAATAAACCTATTACAACGATTGATTGTCCTTGGCAACTCATGTAACTATGAGGTTTATTAAGGTTTTTCGGTAGTTAATTATTGCTCTGATATCAGTATAATTTTGTTTTCCCTAGATGATGGTAAAAGATCCACGTGGCGAATTGCTCCTAAGGGTATCCTAATGAGTCGACCGTTCTTTTATATTCTCTCCTCCCGTTACGGTTAGGGTAACCGGTCACCTGTGCGTATAAGGCTTGTAAATTTTTGTGGGAAAATTGGCCTTGGAGCCATATAATATTGGCGCCTCCACCATATTATCCTTTTTATCCTAGGTGTTCCTTCAGTGAAAAAAAAATAATCACTGGTCTCCTACGGATCCCAGTTCACACAATAAAACAATAAAAAATACTTTGTAAGAATGTCAAAAGCAATCCATCCTAAGAAACCAAAAGCAACTTTTAAAATACGCTCACGACAAAACCACGTTGCAAAGCACTTCAGCGTACTGCAGTGCTACAGAAAGTTGACTCCTGATGGCGCGTTCCAGAGCCCTTGGATAGAAAAAACAACTTGCAAAAAGTTAAGAATTTGCACTTTCTTCGTTTGCCACATAAACATCACCTAGGAATTAATTTATAGAAACTGAAAAATTACCAGACGAAAGAGAAATACCCCGCCAAAAATTGACCTCTCACTTCCGAAAATCTGTGAGACACGCAATTCAGTGATCTCGTGCGCAGATGAGCGTACAATTATATTGTATGGTAGTCTTTTGGCTAAAGCTGATGTAAAAGCAGATCAAAATAGTTTTTATAAATTAATAAGGAAACTAACTTAAAGATGTAATCTACGTTTGTGAAGGATTCTGAATTTTTATCTGTAACCTTCGCTGACGAGAATTGCGTCAAGTCAACTCGACTGAATCCATAATCCATTGACTAGAAGTAGGTAAATCTTTGCAACGTTGTGCGATCTTGTTTTCACGTAAGCACAAATGAAGTGAAAATCATTCGCCAGGTGTCTTTTCCAAAATGTTACTTAAGGAACACAAAGGCAGAATTCCGATGTGAATGCTGCCCGTAGTCAATAAGCCTCAGTTCAGAATAGGTTTGTCAGCTACATGTAGTTCTTTTGTCAATCCCAGGGCAAGAGTGTTTGAATGTTGAACTTCGAAACTGGTATGTGACTGAAATGAATGGAGGGGAAACGTACGAGTGAGCCAGACGTGAGACAGTGGCGCAAGCTTCAGATTTTGGAGACAAAACGCCTAGGAAGAGCAGGTGCCACTCCCTTATGCATCAGTGCAGCATAGAATAGAATAGTTGAGACTTTCTTTTGATAAAATTCAAAAAGCTATAATTTTGTGGCTCGCTAAGGGGAAAGGTCCAGGTCTTTTTGCTTGACTTCATGATGAAATTGCAACTTTTTCAAAGTTATTCACAAACACTGAAATGGCAAATGGGCGAAGTGATGCATGGACGAAGTGGCAAGTAGCCGAAGTGTCGTGGTAACGGGCGAAGACGTAGCAGAGGCGAAAGCCAACTGCACTTGCAGGGAAAAGTACGTTGCCTTATAAAACCCTCACAACACCTCACATGTGTAAACTCAAGCCATTTGTCAATGCAAGCAATTAGGTCATAGCAAATACAACGATTGCTGTCATGATGCCTTGCCTGTCTGAGCCCCACCCAAGACTGCTCTACAGAATTTAGCTAAATATGAAGAAACGAGCAGTTTGCAGCAGTTTTGATTACACATCTCAAGAAACGGTTTATTTATTATAACTTGATTATTTACATTTGGTTTAAAGAGTGAGCTTGCCTCTACTGACCGCTGCGAGAAACCTTTGTATTAACGTACTATATATCAAAACAAACAGAATGGAACGTGTGTCCAGACGGCGGAGGGATCTGTCTGTATAGATTGGTGACCGGCTTGGTGTAATTATGTACATGCATAGGACGCCATTTTGGTAGTTGAATAGTTGTAACGGGCACTGATAAAAGGAATCTTGATTTCTACTGCGCATCGATTGTTTTATGGTTTGAATTTTCACTTGCCGCAAACGAGGCCCCCGAGGGTAACGCAGCTCATATAATGTGTTCTTAAATATTGGTATCACTAGAAAAGATTTCAAAATTCTCTTGCGAGAGTCCCGGCAGCTGTGACTTGGTTAGGTGTCTGACTCGGAAAACGAGACAGTTTAAAGGTTTCACGTTCAAATTGTGAAGTCAAACTTTAGTAACTGAAAATATTTCTGAGAAAGAATCCCGTTCAGTTATTGCAATGTACTTAAACAATTACGGATCACGTGCGCCGTACGTAGGGAAAGAAATTTGAAATAGCAAAATATGAAACTAAGGTTCCCGCTATTGGTGAGCACAAATCGATGTAACGTTAAGGTTTTCTCCCTGGTAGACAACAAAATTTTGCTCCTGAATATGGAAATTTGCATTGGCGTAAACCACCAAAAAATAAATTTGAAAAAAAAAATAGCAAGGCCTCCCGACCTCCCCTTCAGTGAGGCCAGAGAAACGACTCAGATAACCTGGGTGGTGGGCCATTTTGGAGAGGCCGTGCGCTTCCAACACGCGCACACGTGCTGCTCGTCTTCTTTGGTGACCGACAACTATTAGAAACCTGACGGTATACAGACAAGCCTCACAATTGATCCCTTCCAGCCTTTTTTGTTTCCTAACTGATGGCTCAAGGACATGGATCCACGGACGTGTATAATAAAATCTGGACTCGCTATGCCCTTAATCAGCTTATAGAGTCATTGAATCAACTCGCAGCCATTTTTCCGAGCCGAATACAAAGCTTTTCCGGCAATGCCCACCGTTGTTCTTCCTGGCGTCAATAGAAGGGAACCGCCCACGCTTTTGTATTCGGCTCGGTAAAATGGCCGCTGGTTGGCTTCTTTTTCATACAAAGGCGTTGCAAGTCCAGGTTTTTTTTATATACGTCCGTGCATGGATCACGACGGCATAGGCCTAGCTGTTTATAGACAGGGTAGCACCAACTTCACACCTGGAACCAAAATGGCTGTTTTTTACAAGTGCAGTACAGCATAGCAAACAAATATTGTGTGTTCATTTTCCATCGCATAATCCACCATTTTGGTTCCAACAATTGAAACACTCATGTCGTAACTCTCTCTCTCTATAAACGGCTCGTCACCGGAGGGAGAAAAAGCGCAATCAGACAGTACTAATATAGGACAATCCCAAGCTGTCCATGGCAGGACTCCAGGTGTAACAATCTCGTTTTAATGAGTGTTAACGTTTCTGAGAGGGAAATTTGGCTTCATTCGGCACGTACAAGATTGCGCTGTGAGGTTTGCATTCGCCCATTTTACTTTGTGTGCTTATTTCGTCATGGTCGGTCTTGAGTGGACGTAAGAGTATACTTTTGTTTCCGCTGAATGTTACGTAAACACCTCTACTTGGCATTCATCATACACAGGTATCGGAGGGGGAGTGGCCCCATGGCCCCTCCCCGGTTATGTTCGACCCTCTCAAGGCAAAACAACGTTACTTAAAAATGACCATTTTGAGAAAAAAGACTTCAGACTTGAGGCGGTTGAAATTTTTGAACTATCAGTGCAATATTGTTGAAATTTCACGGGCGTGTCCAGAGATATATTTTCCGAATATGGATGGTTAAGATCATAAATCATTTTTAAAAGATACATCGTTTTCCTGGTTTTTTTTTATCCTCCTCTGCTACCCCAACAGTCAAAAGTTTTTTGTTACATATCACGGCAAAACGATGTATCTTTGGTGACCTGCTTCAGATAAAGGGATATTTGACTTAACTGCATGCCAGATTAATGCATCTTTGAGAATTTCTGTGCATTTCATCAAATAAGCAACATGACAGTCCAGTGGCATGGCGCAATTACATCGAGAAATTTTTAATTTTATGTATGTTGGATTTTACATATCTATCCATTAAGCAAGATTAAACATGTCAGTTGGTAAGTCAGACACATTACGTACTTTTTAAAATGATCTTTTAATTGACATTTAAATGGCATAATAGCCCGCACATTTACATTAGAGTGTTGTAAATTTCATTGCAATTATATCAAGGTCTATTACGAAAGCTGATTTGTGAGAACTATTTTTATCCAGAACACAAGTAGCCATGCTTAACGGATGGAATATGAGAGTCAATGTTTGGTTCATAGTCATGTAAGTTTCTGCATTCAGTTTAAAATAAAACTGAATATAAATCGACAATACCAAAAAGTTGAAAGGATTCGATTTGTCATACATGCATCTGACTTGAATACACACGAGGATAAGCACAAATCATGTTGAGTTTTTAATACACATAGTTTCAACATGGAGTCCATACCAATTTCAAGTAACAAAGTCTTGATACATGTAGTTTAAACAGTGAAACCCAGGCTGAGCACAAGTCGTGTTGATGCTTATGCGTATGTAACAACCATAACAGCATGCCGCAATGTTAAATTATTTCAGTAAAAATGTGGACCAGTCAATCATCCAGTCAGTGTCTGGTCGGAGCAAAAGATAGATCTGCATTCATTTTAATGACAATGTGTTCAAGTGGATAAAAAGCATTCATTTTTATTCAAAGACTGGCATATATTTTGGCAAAAGGGAGTATCTTGGAGATGCATTATTTTGCCATATTATAGAAACTGAGTGAAGATACACTTTGACCTTACAGATTCGCATCCTGGCAAAACAACGGTTCTTCGATGTGGTTGGTTATGCCTCGTCAAGGTTCCCTCTGGGAAGGTGTTTCGAATAAATGAAAAACGGATGTGTTAGATGCGAGCTTTTCTTGAACGCTCGGTGAAGCTTCAAAGAGCATAACTGCAAACAGTAAATGTATAATATGTAACTACAGGGTTTTGCTTGAGCATTAATGACAACATTTGCAACATGCAGCTTCTTTCTGTTGTTTGCTTTATGTTTTCGCATCTTTATTCCTCGAATTTATTTCGTCGTAACATTCTACACGTCCTATTTTCTACATGTATTTTCGTCAGATTCCACACATGGCATTATGGAAACAAATGTTGTTCTTGAATTGTTGAATTAAAAAAAGAGATACGCTGGACTGCCAAAGGAAATCACACGATTTACCTCAAAAACGATTGGAAAACATGGGCTACTTCAGAAAGGAAATTTATAATTTTCTAACCACTGAAAGAGCGCCATCAAATCACCCATAATATATCCGTATCTCAAAAAAATTAAGTTACATCGTTTTGCCGTGAGAGGGCCGCGTTGTTCCTCAGACGACCTTCGTTGGCCCAAGATGTTGTCCCTCCCGAGGGCCGCCATCCTCAAGACACGTGATACAGCTGTTGATCTTTGGAATTCAGGGGGTACTTAGGAATGAAACGGGACTTCAAGAAAAGTCTTTAAGGAGCCACTCCATGAAAGATTTCTCTTCTTTGTAATCCCTGAAGGAATTCCCTCTCCTTGAACTCCCACCACATTACTTGCACCTCAATCCATTCCAAAAAATCCATGATTTTTCTTCTTGGCAATCATCTGCAGGAGGGGATTTTGGTTCAACAAAGTAACTTTAAGAAAAAAACGTAGTCTTGCTGAACATTTCTTACAAGCTGCCTCTATATTGAAACACTGTTAGCTTCTGAACTAAACTTGTCACCTCATCAGGAGTTATTGTTAAAAATGTGGCAAGAAAATTGACAGTTACCCACTTTGCCCACACAAAATTTCCTCGGAATCAACAGGAGCTGATGTCAGCTGAAGTCGCAACAGAAACGTCAAATGCTTGATCTTTGTAATGATTGAACATGAACAAGGCACTTAAAATCTTGCATGAGTAACTAAGGAAAGACTTGAGAAAATACACAGGAAATTCAAATAATTTTCTTTAACATTATCCAAGAATTATTGCCTCGACTCTGAAACAAACTGATCTACAAAACATTTGTCAACAGTTACTTTTTTAACGTGACTTTCTTGTAAAACCTTCCCTTTTCTTACTGAACACAGAAATGTTAGCAATTTCTTATGAGAATGAATCTTACGCAACTCCTACCTTGTGAAAAAGTTCGCAAATATATATTTTTATCTGCACGATTAAGAAAAAAGACGGGATTTGCCATCACAAGACACATCTAAAAATTTGGATGGGTGCAGAGGGAGTGTTCACATCATTGTTTTAATTGTTTTTAGGCATGCGGAAAGAGACTGCAGTAATAGCATTGTTTCGCATTTTGTGAGATAAACTCAGAGGATTTGTGCTTGCAAGATGAAAGAAGCAAACCAAATGAAAATGATTTGCCACAGAAATTAGCCAAATAACAATAATTTGTGAAACAGTTTGTGACAGAAACTCTTCCTATCAAAATAACGGATCTTACAACTTCTCCAGGGACAAAAGCTCTGTACAACTCAAGCTTTACTCTGCGAAGTGCTGCATAATGCTTAAAAGATCCATCCCCCGTTCCCCTCCAACTGCGGAAGCACACCAGGAGAAGATGTCCTCCCTCATTATTCATTATTTCAAGCATGCCCATGAGAAACTTCACTCTGCAGAACTGGAAAAGTCAGAAGATAAGTCCAACAAGTCTTCACGAGCCGCTGCCTTGCTGGTGCTGGGCCTGCTGCGTCCCACCCAATGACATCTGAATGGCGATCTCCAGCATGGCTTCCTCTGTCATCTGTTCGTCGTTGACATAAGTCTCCTCTTCCATTTTCAGAGAGTGTCCGACTGCACCTGGAGTGGGGTAGTACGTCTGTCCACCTCTGGCTTCCAGTCCTGCTGCCTGCATGCCTGAGGGATTATCTGGCAGGGCTTGTCCTTGAGGATGTGATCCAGAAGACGGCGCATACTGTCCTTCCTCGGGATGCTTTGAGGACGCAGATGTCGGTGGCTGAGGAGCTCCTGAGGTATGCTGCCTGGTTTATCAATCAAAAAATTTGACTATTGCATTTTGGGTGTAAGAACTCAATGGTCTATATGTGCACGTACTACTAAACAATGACAAAGAGACAGTTTGAGGATGCTTGACCTCAAACGCCTTTGTGCACCAACACTCATGCAAGTTTCTCTGTGAAAATCTACATGTCTGTGCACATTCTGATGAAAATTGGTCCAGTGAACTGAATGCCATATGAGTACAAATGACTATTAAAGCAATGTGTCCTTAAATACTGTCTCATGTAAACAGGCCACCTACTTTGAGCTTCGACCCAATTTAGACTCGTTTACACTTCAGGCAAATGTGACAGCAAAGCAAATCCCATGTCACAAGACATTTGCAGTGAAATTTCCTCGAGTTGACATGCATTCAGCTTTTGCAAATTTGTGGTGAAAACACTTAATCTGACGTCACAAATTTGCATTCAAGCTCCCTTTTGAGCCAAGTATAAGCCAACATCGAGACCATCACAAGACCCTACAAAAATACTAACATAAAACTAACGTAAGACTTGTCAGAAATGAAGTCACAAGTCACTTTTAAAGTGAATGGCTAACCAGGTGTTCAAAACTAGTTTCCAGCTGGCCAGCTTAAATTCTCTTTCTTTAAAAAAACATGATGCAATGAAAGCAAGATGTGGAGCAATTTTGTAAACATCCAAAAGGAAATAACAAGGTATTCAGATTATGTGCCATTTCTGAAACCAGCTGAAGTCTGCCACATGTGACACAGTAAGCATTTCAAGTGCGTATTGCCAATTTCAACTATTATGTAATCATAAGCGGCAACATGGTAGCCAATGAGCAAAGTGGATCCAGACCAAAATTGGGAGGGGGGGAGCTTGTTTTGGAGGGCCCAAAATTTGTACATTTTTTCAACTTTTTCTGGCCTAAGTGAGGATTGAGGCTACATTCAGGGTTTTTACATGCTTTGGGAATAAAGGGAAATGAAATTGATGATTAAATTCATCTTTATCATATTACCGAAAAGAATAAAAATGGGCTCTCTTTTCGGGGGCAGCTAGGCCCTTGACGGGAAAGACACTGTCTCTGTATTTTCCCATGGCTAGGTTTAGAGGTAACTTAATAGTTCAGTGAATGCAGACTAATTGTGCTTAAAGCAGTATTACTTGTATTCTGGATTTCAAGCTTTTGAAATGAACTTGACAGTCCTTTGGCATGCACTCATCGCACCGATGCGCAAGTTAATGCGCATTTGACGCGGAACATGCCCAGTAAGTGCAACGAATTTTGTCTGGAATATATGGTCTTGGTGTGCATGCTGAATGCGTGAAAAAACCCAGTTGGAAAACTGAGTACCATCTGTCTTTCTTTCGCTGGTGAGGGCGCACTTCAGCTTAGGGTGGATACAACTTTAAAACTACGAGAAGTATTTTTAACAACCTGTATCCCATTAGCTACATGTATCTAATACATCAAAGAATACACACACAACATGTGATACTTTCATTATCCACGTACTCAACTCCAGCATAAAGCACATTGCGGAACATAAAGAGGGTTGACACAGGTGTAGTACACTGTTTCCTAATAATGTATTGACAGCATGCATGAGCACTTCCGTTTTACATTTTCTTTTCAGTTAGGTCCCAGTAACCCTAGAAGAGCCTGGGCAGGGGCAAAATTTGCCCCCCCCTCCTGCTGGCGGTGAAATGTTCCAAAGTAATCTAGTATTTTGGGGTTAGTCCTTGGCCTGGAACTTGAAATCTTGAACTACATCTGTAACTGTGGAATTTGAAAAGGAACTTGATCATTCTGAGATTGGTAGCCGATAAACTCAGGATGGGCCCAGAGCTGGATATAGAGAGAGTAGAATCAACTTCAGAATTTGGAACCGAAATGGCTGTTCATTACCTGTGCAGTACAGCATGCAGCTATTGTGTGCTAATTGTCCATGTGCACTGAAGCATCATCCACCATGTTGGTTCTGATAATTGAGACACTCATGTCATAACTCTCTCTATGAACAGCTCTGG